ATACTCTTTTTTAGGTTCATTTAGGTTCTTTTGATAACGATAGCAGAAAATACCTATCGAAACGTCAAGGTAATTTTCCAAATTAATTTCTTTACTAATTGGAATTTTCTCTTACAGCTTGAACTAAACTGTGTCGTAGGATACCCTGTAGGTTGATAGTTCTTGATTACTTTTTGATAAATAATTCGTTCATCTTGCCAAATATGAGCACTATTGATCAATGTGTAATAAAAGACGTGCAGAAATTCTGTTGAAGAGAACGGGCATGGATAATATTTTCAGGCTCAAAATAGTGTAAAAACTTTCTTTTTGGAAGACACAGTTACAGCCACAGTAGCTTAAATAGTAGAGGAATATACAAGCTTTTTTATGTATATGCTATATATTTTCAAGGATCAATCAGTTTTAGATTGAAGCCTCTGTACACCAACTAAAGGGCATAGTTTTTGTCAAGTTTTCTAACTGCAACTGTTTCGACAATATTTAAATTAAATCGAACCTGTACGCYCTCAAATTATAAGCGATTTTCCAATAAGCATTGCCASTCGAGGCACTTAATTTATGTGCCAGGTCRAGCATATTTGTCACCAGAACAACTAAAAAGTGTACATTTTGTCATGTTTTCAAACTGCAACTGTTTCCAGGTTATTTGAATTACATCGAAACTGTAGGCTCTCAAATTACAAGCTATTATCCAATAACCATTACGACTCGAGGCAGTTCCTATATTTTTCCAGATCGAACACGTTTGCTGGTAATAAAGAAGCCATCAGCAAACATTATGCGTAGTTTTCTTATTGTTGTTTTGCTTCAAACAAACTGTGCGTTTATTTAACCCCATAAAAACAGGTGTGTTCAAAATTCATAATTTCGTTTAGTTTTCTCCTAAAATCAACACGATGAGTCTGTCCGCACATTTCGAAAAATATTGTGAACGTAAGCTGAAACAAGATTAAAACAAACTCGAAATTAAATTGGCACTTCCCACTTATAAAGTTAAAGCCCCATTTAGAGGCTTTAAAAGTCCCTACCTCTAATCCTTTTGTATTCCTTCCGGTGCCCAGCCCCATTTGTTGTGAATTTATTCTAGCTTACACCTTTAGAGTCTTACGTAGATTTCGTGGGTGTTGAGAGGAATTTAAAGAAGATGAAAATGCACCAGAAAAATAATTGCTAATTGTTTAATAGGATTCATTCACACATGACAACTTTTAATTTCGGTTAGCATTTTACGAGTTCCCGAGAGGAAGATTAACAACCACACGAAATACACATGGCAGAAATTGCGCAACTCAAAAATGTTGACTCGAAACGTAACAGCGCTGTCCTCGTTTTTAATTAAATTATGCAAATCGACTTTCATATTTTAAAACGTCGAAATTACTTGTAATAACAGAAGAACAAAGTGGGCAAATATGGCTTCGCAATAAAAGGGAAGATTTAGGACCTGAGCTAGCAAACCTTACCATTTTACAGCATAAATTGTAAATCATTTGTAACAATTAGCAGGTGAATTTTATGGGTAGTTAAACCAGCAGTCACTGATTTGAACTAGAGAAATTTGTATTGCAACCAACTTCCACACCAACACCATAAATTAGAAAGTTGTATTAGCAAAAGCGCATCGTTGGAAATTTATGTACGCGAGCACACTCTAAGGAGTTGAACAAAGCTGTATAAATCCAGAGTTACCAATAACTAGGTATATTAAAACATCTAGAATACGACGAAGAGAAAAATTCCAAGCAGAGTTTCCGGCCAGAACTAAATCTTAATTTTAATGTTTCAAAAAGGGGAAACTTTATCGAATTGCAAGTAATTCCTAGCAAAGCTAATATTAATTCAAACCACGACTGTTTATCCGCTTAATTGTATAACAGAAATTTATTATTTGTGCTGCCAGCAATGCTTTTATGCAGCTATTGTTTTAAAGTGCAGTAAATAATTATTTCCAACAAGCTAACGAGCTAATCTAAAATTTAAATTGTGCCTCCATTTATTCATCGAGCTCGTTTATCGGTTTTTGCAGATTTAAAATAATTTGTTATTAGCCATCGCAGCGCAGCGCGTGTTTTAAACCGTATTAAAATAGCAAATCTTGAAGTGTCTTCAAAGGCAACATTTTCGCTGCAGTGTTGATCTAGTGCCAATCGTAAGAATGTCTGTTTAAAGACATGGCCAAAATTTACTTTCATCTTTCAACAAATAACTTGAATTTTCTGATAAAACTACGTTTCTCAGTGAGAAGTTGAAGTTCTTTTGAGTAGAAAGAGCCCGTAGCAATGAAATTCCGTATTTATGCAGCGAGGTATTCGGCTAGATTCCTATTTAAATTAATTTTTGCTCCACTGAAATGAGCGCTTAATTCTTTGATGTTTCCAAGAGTATTTACCGTATAACCATAACTTAGAAAAAAATTATTAATTTGTTTAATTCAAACCAACAAACGAAATGGTCGTTCATGTATAAGCTCCAAATTCATCATGCATTATCATCAGATAAATCCCATTATATTCGTTGATACATCCGACATCCCACCCTTTTGCGTGTAACCGTATATCATCAATTTGTTATCTTTTGTATTTGTGACAATACAAGGGGATCATGAAAAGAGAATCCATTCAGTGGATGTTTAACTAATTCCAGTTTGTTAATACAAATACGTTAAAAATAATGAATCTTCTTGCGCTGCTAATGTAGTTTGTTACGGTACACCTAATATTTTTACCCTTCTGATAAACGTTTTCCTGTAGGCTTTGATTTGGGGATGACGAAAAACATTAGTTTGGGTTAGTTTAAGATCCTTTGCAAGCAATTGAACAATATTTGTGCAATTGTTAAATTCATAGACATTTTTCCTTGGAAATTGCATTCACTCATATTCCTTTTAGTAGTGATGAACAAGAACTTGTATGTCAAATAGAAAGTTACAAATGCAAACAATTGCAAATATATCACTTTTAATACTTTCCGGTATTAATAATTCCATCTGATAGAACTGCCGCTCCCTTGTAAATTAGCTTATTTTTACCACTGCTTTATGAAAATTAATACATGATATGTCTCCGAAATTTTTATGCTGTTTCCTCCATCTATCCTAAAGTGGCTATAGCTTTGACTTAATTTCGGGATTAAAAGAGGAAACTCTCCCAGTATTGAATTTTCCAATACGGCACTACACATCAATGATCATCCTGCAATTGATTTTCCTGCAAAAGAGCTTTAAGTAAAACTGGCGAGATGTCGCCAAAAATGGCGCTTGGGAAGTTATACTGGGTGATTAAAACTTAATTTTGATAAGCACAGTTAGATATGGTTAATTATAAATATGTTATATGTAATATTATAATATTATAAAATAGTCAAAAAGAGAATGTACCTACATAGATACAGTCTGAGACATACTAGTGAAAATGAAACAGCATTAACACAACATGCACACCAAATGTTGCATAATTTTGATTTTAACAACGGAAATATATTAGTTAGGGAAACGAATTATCATCAAAGAAGAATCCACGACATGATACAAATAAAAAAACAAGCAAAAGCAGTAAATTTCAGATTAGATACCGACAACCTTAGCAACATTTACCAAACCCTAATAAGCCATAAGTATGAAGCACCCAGTACACTGGTGAAAAATTAAAACTATGTATGCTTATCTCAATACATACATACGACTCTAGCAAATGTAAAAAATAATTCGGACAAATTTAAGGTTTCAAGAAGGCAAAGACCTAAAAGACCGTTGATTTTTACCAATCATGAGGTATGTTTTTCCAGTGTTTTACCCTTCCAAAAGGAAGGATTCTTTCCCTCAAAAACTGATGAATGTTTTAACACTTTATAAATTATGGTTTTTATACAACATGTTTTAATTGTGAATTGGTGTTTGTAGTTTGTGTAAATTTTAAACCTGATGATGGCGCTGTTGTCTTGCCGAAACGTAATGAAATAAACGATATATATAACTTAATCTTTTTACACTCTTTTTTCTTAGACTTAAGGTTTCTGGGCCATATGTAGCCACCGGTAAGATGCACGAGTCCCAAACTTTTTTCTTTAGGTTTATACCTAGGTATACTGCTGTTCCTAAAGATGTGTCGCAGTTTACCAAACGCTGCTCATGTGAGTCCTGTACGTCTAGGAGTTTCTGCTATTTGATTTGGTTTTCCTAGCATGATCGTATGGCCAAAGCATGTATATTGGTTTAGGCATTCGATAGTAATATCCAGCGCTATATAAGGATTTGTTTGTCTTTCCAGTATTCATTCTTAGACCCACCTCTTTCACTGCTTGGTTGAGTTGTTCTATCATTTCCATCAGCTACATTGGGTCGCTTGAAATTAAGACGATGTCGTCAGCGAACCGCAAGTAATTGAAGTGCACCTCGTCGATCTTTATACCTTTCGATTCCCATTCAAGTTTTTCAAGAACGTCTTCAAGAGACGTTCTCGAAAACTCCAATAAATACTTTTGGTGAGATAGTATCCCCCTGGCGTACTCTCTTGCCCATTTTTATGTTCGTTCTTCGTTTATTTTAAAGTGGAATGTCGCATTCTTGCAGATGTTTTCCAGTATGGCGGAGTATCTTGAGTCTATTCTTGCATGTCGAAGGCTTTGTGGAAGTCGATAAACGCTAGATGGATGGGGACATTATACTCGGTTGTCTTTTCAAATAAGGTTCGCAGTGTTTGTAGGTGATCGATGGTGCTGTAATCGCTACGGAATCCGGCCTGTTCTACTGGCTGGTAAAGGTAAAGTTTTTCTGTGAGTCGGTTGCATATGATTTTGGTGAATAACTTGTATAGGTGTGAAAGCAGACTGATAGGACGGTAGTTTTGGATCCCTGCGGTGACTCCTTTTTTAAGATTAAGTAAGATTTGAATATTTTTTTCCACCGTACTTCCATCCAGTTTCAACATATCCGCCGAAATGTGGTCTTCTCCGGCACATTTATCGTTTTTCGTCCTCCTGAAGGTATATGTAATTTCCTCCAGTGAAACACGTTCAAACCCCTGCTTTGCGGTTGCATTTCCCTATCGAGTGTCCGTGGCGAATACAAATCATTGTAGAAATCTTCAGCTATGCGGAATATTTGTTCTAGGTTTGAGATTATAGTTCCTTGCAGGTTCTTAACTTTGGTTTTTCTTGTTTTTCCGCGTGAAGGTATGATATTAGCATTTTCATATTTGAGTTATTCTCTATTGTATTTAGAATAGTGTTGGGTTTGTATTTTCTTATCTCTCTTCGAATATTTCTTTTTACTTCTTTGTTAAATGTTCTCTATTCGTCCGTCTCTTTTTCCATATGCCTTATTTGTTCTATCATTCTATTGGTGTTTCCACTGATTCTTGGTCTTTTGGGGGTTTTGCTTTTAAATACATCTTTTTTTGCTGCTGTTTGGATACCTGTTTTGATTCTCTCATTCATTGGATTTACAACCAGGGTTACAATGTCGATAGGTCTTGGGCGTTTTTCGACTTCCCTCTGGGTTTTGTTATACGTTTATTTCTCTCCAATTTTGAGTCAAACAAAATACATGCTCGCACTAGTCTGTGGTGACTTCCGGTGTCAAACTGGTTCAGCACATCTGCATCTGTAAATATTTTCCGGTTGTTAGCAAGGATGAAGTCTATCCCGTTCCTCACCGAGTTACCAGGACTTCTCCACGTCCACTTGCGTTGGGGTGGCTTCTTAAAGAAAATGCTCATGCAGCATAGATTTTCCTTTTCAAGGAAGTTTGCAAGCTCTTCTCCTCTGTCGTTTCTTTCTGTCGGTGGGACATCGATCCTATAACATCGATGTTGACATCGAAAGGTAATATCGATATTAGGGAACATCGAAGGCAGAACATCGATGTTTGACAACATCGATCTTGTGATAGTTTGCCGTTGCATACAAATTTCAAATTGATTAATTTTATTTTACTACTACTATGACATTTTAAAACAATGCATTGGTAAATAACGAACTAGATTTATTCAACATAAAGTTGCCACATTTTTCGGTCAACTGACTTCAAAAAGAGGTTCTTCGAGTGCAGGACTATCAAAAAGATGGCAGAAAATGTTTCTATCTAGTATCAACATCAAATGTTCGATGTTTTCATTTCAGGATCTGACATCAATGTTCCAAATTTCCAACATCGATGGTAAAAATATCGAACATCGAACGAATTACGTCAATGTTTGCAAAACATCGATGTTTTTTTCCCATCCCTAGCCGAATGAATTCGGTGTCCGCGCTAGTCCTTTCTCCTATGTTTGCATTAAAATTCCCTATAACTATTTTAAAATGTGTTTTTTTTATTTTGTTTTGCAGCCGTTATGTCCTCATATAGTTGTTTCACCTCTTCGTCTTCTGAGGTGCTAGTTGGGGCGTAAATATACTCTTTTACTAAAAGCTTTTAATATAAACGGCATCTTTCGAACGGCAACTTCAAAACCATCCTATTGAACTTAAATTTAGTACACATATAAGCTTCTTAGGTGCATTTTTTTTTATAAAAATGATTGGTCGTGGTTATTTATTCCTTCTTTCAGAAATATCAGAAATTCATGCACTCAACCTTCATATGAATAAAGAAACCATTCTGCTTAAAGGTAGAAGCCTTTTACTTTTCCCCGTTTTATTTGCAATACTACGCGATTCAGGAAATAACTTTCTACTATGAAAAAACCGCCATTTTAACGTGTTCTATATTTTCGCAATGCTAACAGAAACTGAAGTTGGGCAAAACGTGCAGGGTTGGTATTTTATTACACATTAATCTCTTGAATTGACCGAGTTTAGCTACTGTTTTCCATAAACACTACTAATCTTTCTAGACGACCTGAATACACCACTTGAAGGTATTGATATTAGTAAATAAGTAATTAAACGCTTACGTCACCCTTCTTCAAATATTAATAGCAAGTTTTGCACTTGAACTGCAGCTGCAGGTTTTCTCACTTATATCAAACAAGTTCACGAGATTTAAACCGGCGCAGACCTAGAATTTTTGAGAAGTTGCATTTTGCTTTCTGTTGGCATTACGGATATTATGTACAAAGACATAATAAAATATAGCATTTTTGTTTTATATTGCTACTTGAAATACAATTTTAGCGATTGACCAAACCAAAAACAAAACTTTTAAAAAGTATCTCCTAATATAATTGTTATAGATAAGATAAGGACATATGAACGTCAGGCCTCTTGAGATTGATTTTCTAGCATAAACAATTTCAACAAATCTGAGAATTGCCCATTTAGTAGCATTATTAACAGAGCTTGTGCTTGCGTACTTTCAACAATGAAGTGTTTTATTTTAATTGGGCTAATAGGCCTTGGTTGGGTAGTAGCCATTCTAGGGGCCTCTTGTACGGTGTCAAACTATTACGATGTTTCAACGGCAGCTGAAACCTGCGACACATTGATTATAGGAGATTTGGTAATTCCTGCAGAAACCACTCTGGAAATTAATTTGAAAGATGGTGCAAAGTTGATTTTTGACGGTCATTTAACACATGAAGTGGCTGAGTGGACTGGCGACTTAGTTCACATCAAGGGAAAGAATGTTGAAATATCTGGAACAGCAAGTATGTTGAAATATTTTAAAGTTACTAAGACTCAGACTCCAAATGATACATTTTAGACCATCTGCTTGACGGTCTGGGTCCTCAACATTGGAAAGGAGCAGGCGAATCAACAATATTGCGGCCCAAGTTTATGCGAATTCAGGTAGAAGATTCCACAGTGAAGGACTTGAACATCAAGAACTGTCCCAACAATTGCGTCGTTTTGTCCAAGTCTACTAACTTGCTTGTAACGAACATTAACATTGATAACTATGATGGATACCCAGTAGGTCTTTGAAAAATAAATATTTTTCGTATCGTCTTTGAACGTACATGTGGTTTTAGGGAGTTATCGGAGCAAACTATGCGAAAAACACCGATGGATTTGATGTGGCTGGAGGCAGCGGAATCAGAGTGGAAAACTCAGTAGTTATCAACCAGGATGATTGCGTTGCAGTTAACGGAGGATCGAATATGGTTTTCGAAAATTTACACTGCAATGGCTCCCATGGATTGAGTTTCTCGGTTAAATGATAATTCCAAATTACCAAACATTTCTTCAATTCAGAGTGTTGCAGATCAAAAATGGGGACGTGTCCGATATTCAATTCTTAAACTCCAAAGTTGAGTATTCCAACAATGTAATACACATCAAAACTCACAACGATGGGGATACGGGATCAATAAAAAATGTGCTCTATAAAAATATTGAATTCACAGGTAAATTAAATGGAATGTGAGATACCTGGAAAGTTTAATAATTTAGGAACTAATAATGCTGAATGTTGCCAATTTGCTTTAAGGCATTGACAAGTTTGCGATATCGATTCAGGAGAATTATCCAAGTGGGGATGCTAAAGCCAACATCCCGATCACAAACCTGACTTTAACAAATATTCAGGGAACTATGACCGGAAGCAATAGCATGGCCTTGCAAATAGTTTGTGCTCAAGGAGGATGCGCCGACTGGCACTTCACAGATGTATCAGTTAGTGGAGCAAAGAAGTCCAACACTTGCCAAGAAGTCCCCAGCGGAATTTCCTGTTGATTGTTTGATGAAATATAGCAACTTTGAAAAGCATATTTGGTTTTTTGTTTTTGAAATAGTAGACCAGAGAGTGACTGAGCTGCACAAAATGGTCAAAAGATCCCAGGCACAAAGAAATTATACAAGTTTGCTTGTATGGCCGTATACATTAGTTCCTATAAATCTGAGCGTTCACTCCAAGTTTAAGAAGTCACTTTTATTTCCATGTTGCCTTATTTGATTATTCGCCTCAAGTCACACTCCTTAATAAATGAATTCTCAGGTATTAACAGTAAGATAACGACTGTCCACAGAAATTCAAATGAAGATCAGTCTGTCCGTTCTGTTCTTCATATGTTTGGTAATACAGACCCTGATCTTAGTGAAGAATGTGAAGTAAAAACCAATGTTTCTTTCGATTCAGTAACACCAGATTTGTGTCTTTCGCGTAATGTGAATTTTCTCATTTACGAGAGAAAGTATTTTAAGATCATTAATTATCAAAAACCGATCTTAGCCTATCGATTGAAAAAAAAATAGATTTTCCTGAAGTTGTGTAAAGAAATTTGACGCATTTTACGCAAGCACCATCTTTCATTGCGATAGTTCCAAATTCAAGGCACTTATGAGTCAACTGGCTTCTTTCTCAAAGTGCTAAAAATTAAATGTAACTCTATCTAATAATGCAGACACACTTTCCATATTATTTGATTTTCCTTAATTTTAAATTAGTGTTCTTCATACACATTAACCATATTTATTTGCATCAGGAACATTTATTTCATTTATCGTAGCACTATTTATGCAGCAAGTGAATAAATGCTAAAAATGGAGCCCTTTCGTTTTATAACCGCTTCGATTCGAGCGTCTTCTTCCGATTCGGTTCCCCAGTTTTGCCTCTGGCTGCTGGCAAATATCGCAAAGAAAATAGCACTCGACAGTGCGATTACCGAAGTTATTATAAACACTGTCCTCCATTGGCTGGCATCGCTCTGAGATCAAAAAGAAAGTGTTTGGTTTTTCATCCTAACAGAAACCAGTTCTACGTACCAAGTCGGTACAAACCCAGTCAACAAGTGACGGTGCAAATGCAGACACACCTTGCGAAATACTATGCGATATTCCCGTGATAATTCCTGCGTATTTTGGAGAAAGATCGTAAATATTGACTGAGACTCCTGTTATTGAAATAGACTCGTCAGCTATAGTTACAATACAATAAAGAACAACCGCCCATATTCGCAACTGCTCTGGAATATAAGTGGTGCAAATCACGGCGGTCGTCATTAGAAGCGTCCCTAAAAGCAGATCATCAGAATAATTAAATCTTAATTGTTCATTACTAACATGTTAGGTGAAAAAATCTTCTAGTATTCAATACGGAAAGCAGTCCGTGCCTTGGAATATAGTCGGAGATAATGGAAATGAATATGCCAGATACTGTACTAATTATTTTTGGTATTGCTGACACTGTGCCGTTCTGAAATAAATCTGTGGGTCAAATAATTCCTTACTTAATTGCTCTTAATAACTCACGGACTGTAAGTCATACTTCATAACTTTTGCTAGGAATGTGGGCATTTCGGTAACCAAAAGCATAACAAATAAATAGTAACCGGCATGACCAACAATTATAGCCCAGAAGTGGATTGACGTCAATATTTTTGCCCAAGGAACTGGTTCATCCTGCAAGACCATCCACTATATTCTAGCTAAATGCCGAGGCTCAAACCAATACATTTTCAAAAGTGCTAGATAAAGTTTTTTCCAAATATGTTCGTTCAGCAGAAGTGATATTCGGATGAACATGAGGAGCTTGTACTGCTACAAACAGGTAAATAGTCGTCACAATTATCCCAGCTGTTCCAAATATATAACACACCCAGGGCCATCCCAAGGTCGATTGGGATATAAATCCCGTGGAAATTGTTGATCCACTTTGCATAAAAGTCACAACTGCTTAGAAATGTTATTGGTTACTCTAATTTAAAGCAGGGAATTCCTTTTATACTTGCAGATACTAGAAACCCCAAGCGCGATCTCTCTTCGTGTGGTGCCCAAATTCCCATTACCACTGCAGTCAGAGGGATCATAATTCCCATACTGAGGCCCTCCACAAATCTGCATGCAAGAACTCCCATAGATCCCAAATATTGAGCCGAAAGTGGAATCAGCATAAACGCAACTGAATTGACTACCATTGCGCTTACGATCAGCCATTTGGGGCCATATTTCTTTCCTATATAGCCACCTGCCAAGTTTGTGGGTATTCCGCTCCAGAGTGCGGTTGAGAGAATAATGTTTTGGTTGGTCCAGTCGTATGTCTGAAGGTTGAAACAGAACTTGCAACATTAATTGATATCAGATACTTGGATCAAATGCATTAGTCTAAAATGACCACATTGGTCAAATGAGTCTAGGGAGGAGGCTTTCGTGTCAACGATTCGTGTTAAATTTACCGTTTATCCTGGTCTATCTTACTGTCACTTTCTGTATAATTCCATGGCTACCGGAGTTTAATATCGTTAACAATTAATATTTTTTACTATTTTGTCTGTACTCCTTAAACACAGTCTGATAACACCTCCATAGGAATGATGCCCATTTTGAATCACCCTGTGATGATGTGAATGTAAAGTGAATGAGGCGAAAAGTTTACTCAAAACAATAAGCTTCTACAACTTTGTGTGTGCCTAGAAATGTACGAATATGATCTGTTCTGATCGCGTTTTTTTTTCTTGAATGCAGTAGCGATAAACGCTTTAATTACATGCAAAAGTAGTAAATATGGCTTTAAATTTGCCAGAAGATTATTCACCAACACTCTGAAAGGCTGTTAGCTAAAGGAAAGAATATAATTCAAGAATATCGAGAAGTTTTCGAAAAAAAAAACTTTTTAGTTCGGCGACAAACCCCTGAGCGAATGTTAATTATATCCAATGAGAAGATATCGGATGCATAAATATATTTTTGCATACTGTAAAATAAAAGTATTAGTTTGCATAGTTGCTGTAATGAATAGCAAAAATTGTATAAATTCAGACAGAGACTTTTTTTTATTACGCTGTACAGCCTGCAGAGTTTATCTTTGTGGTTTCTTATAATTAATTCTTCATTTTGATGATGGATCTAGTCACGAGTATGTTTATAACTAGGGCTTTCAGATATTAACTTTATTTGGAATATATTTTTTAATTAGAATGTGTTTTTTCGTCAATACCCAGTTACACACTTTTAGTTGATATTCAGTTTCATTTGAATGTCTGTTTTCTGATTTGTTTGACCTATTCTGAGACGACCATTTAGTATAAAGAAATCACAAAAAATATACAGGGTGATTCACGGTCGATGGCGTATTAGAAGTTTAAGGAGAATGCGATGCCTGATCAATCTGCAAATTTGTACAACGAAGTACTCGGATATGCTCTTTCGGCCTAAATTATTTTCGGGAATGCGAGGGTGCCGCTTATACCGAAAAGTACATACAACTTTGATATTTTAAATGAGACACCCTGTATTTTTTGTCACGGTTAGATTGTTTATACAGATATTATTATTTTCGCATAAAGATTCCCAAATCTATCTAAAGCGGTTTCCGAATTATTAAATAAAATTCATTACTTTTAACGAAACGTATCCTCAAGGAATCTTGTATTAGAACGCGATTTCGATACCTGAAAGTTTAAAATTGTGGTACTGGGTTAGGAAAAGCCTATGCTTGAGTACGGCGTATAGCAATTTGCTCCAAATTCTACAGGATGTCTTGAAAATACTGACTTTTGGGCTAGAGACAAAAACTGTTCCAATTACATTTTTTCAAGTAGAACACCCTGTATATTAGTTCAAATACGGGAAGATCGTGAAATTTGCTGTGAAACGATATATCATGTTTCTATACCTAAAGTGTGAAATTTCCGAATTAAGTGGACGTTTTTGCAAAAATTCGATTATGTCGACGTATTTATCAAAATAGCCATCAAATGTCATAATAGTTGAAAATTTTACAAATTCTTCATAAAGTTCTTAAAGAAAATCTACTTTTTGTGAAGTTGTATGGATACATTGCATGCTTGATCAGGATCCTTTGAATTGCACTATGGGCTAAGCCGAAATCATCTGCGGCACTTCAAATAGAAGCTTAAGGATATGCACGGAAGTACGCAAAAACATTTACAATGCTGGCTTGATCAGAAGGTACAGGTTTTAGTAAGTTCGGTTCAGCTTTCAGTTTGGTGCCATAATTAAGGAAATTGTGTGGTATTCGCACAAACTTTTTTGCATTAATTTGCTTTAAATTTGAAGACTTTTCGTCGAATTTTCTGCATGTCCTTGTAACAATTGGGTCACATTGTTCATGAAGAATAAACAGTTTGATTAAAACTTTGTTTGAATTTGTTTATGAGTCTGAATTGAAGTTGAACTGAATAGTTGCTCTCCATTTTGTGAATAATTAAGTCTAAACTGCATTAAAAAGGGCATAAAGCTTTCTCTATTACTTTATTGACTTGACAACTGGTTTAAAGAATTTCAAATGTTCAACTATTATGACATTTCATGGCTATTTTGATAAATACGTCGACATAATCGAATTTTTGCAAGAATGTCCACTTATTTCGGAAATTTTTTGCTTTAGGTAGAGGCATGATATATCGTTTCACAGGAAATTTAACGGTCTTCCCTTATTTGAACTGATATACAGGGCGTTCTATTTAAAAAAAATGTAATTGGAGCAGTTTTTATCTCTATCCGAAAGGTCAGTAATTTCAAGACATCCTGTAAAATTTTGAACAATCTGCTGTACGCCAGGCTCAAGCATAGGGTTTTTCGAACCCAGTACCAAAATTTTAAATTTACAGGAATCGAAATCGCGTTGTAATACAAGATTACTTGGGGATACGTTTTGATTAAAAATAATGAATTTTATTAAATATTTCGGAAACAGCTTTACATCAATAGGCAGAAATAATCCGATCTTTATCTCCAATCCAACCGTGCAATAATATACAGGGTATCTCATTTAAAATAGCAAAGTTGTATGTACTTTTCGGTATAAGCGGCAACCTCGCATTGTTGAAAATATTTTAGGCCGATAGAGCATATCCGGTAACTTCGTTATACAAATTTGCAGATAGATCGTACATCGCCTTCTCCTTAAACGTCTAATACGCCATCGACGTAGAAGGCTTACTAAGAGTTGTAGTACATACTTCAATTCTAATCACTGACATAAATGCAACTTACCAGATTATACATATAAAGATTTAATTTTTTATGTAGAAATATTTCCCGTTTCTATTAGATAAATGAAGTTGGCAGAATTAGGTGAATCTCAATAGTTAATCAAAGAGCAAGTTTCATCTGATCGTTTGATAATATTTTCACTTACTGGTGCATTGGAAGTGGATCCAGAAGTTGTAGAATTTGTCGAAGTCATTGCAACAATAGTGATCGAAAAGACCGTTTTAAGAGTGAGTAGGTGACCGTAGCATATGGCCATCACAATGATTTGCACAAATCGCACTCCAAATGTAGGACCTAAAAATTAAGGTAATTAATACAGGACATTAGAAAAAGTCAGCGTTTTCTTTTTCTGTATCTGCAGATAGAAAATTTGAGTTGTACGAAAACATGATAGGGATTGTACTGCAGTCAAGTGATAAGTATTGATTTTACTTACGGTGGAATCGTAAACACTTTGAACGTCAATTACATTCAACTTGGTGTGCAAAAACAATTAACTGATTTTGCACAACATTATCAAATTTGCATAATTAAATTTTTAGTAGTTTTTATCAATTTTTGTTATTTATGTAGTTGCACCCAATAATGTTTGCAATCCGCAAAATGTACAAATTTATTTACCTTTATCCGCACTGTAATAAATACCATCGTCCGGTATGTCGTCTTTTTTGTCACTTTTAATGCTCATACTTAAAGAACCGACGTCAGCTGATCCAGTGGGTAGAACGCAAATTAATGTTTCCAAAAACTTTAACGTTTCCTTCAACGATTAATCAAAACCTAATTATATCTTATCTTTAATTTAATTCATTACGAGTATTGTAGATCTCAAAACGCTGCAACTGATCATTGACCATAAGTAGCACACTTCATGAGCATTTTAATGGAATCATTGCCAATTCACACGATATGCAAAATGGTGTTAAATTTAAAATTTGCTTGAATGAAACCAACAAATCCGGCAAAATTATTGGTTTTCAAATTTTAGATTGTGTATTGGGGTCAATTCCGAAGCCCTAGTTTGATACAACAGGTGGCGCTCATACAAAAATCAATGATCGAATGCAGTGGAAACTCTTTCAAGTTTCTTCAAATTCTGGAAGATGGCGTGGCGATGCAAATCGATATAGGCTTTGCCAGCCTAGTGCAAAGGATGGCACAGTTTACAGCAAGATCTGGATACATTTTGTTGGGCGAAATTGGTTTTCCCCAATAAGATTTAAATGTGGATACCGATAATTTTGCAATTTTACATCAATATAATTTCCCATTGTCTGGCCAATTTCTGACTGGAATTTTCAACTACTGCTGAACGTTTTGATAGCCGTGACGTACAGGAAACTTAATTTAATGCAACCAATCTGAAGGCTATAAATTTCAAACTGGAAGTTACACCGAATTGAATCTTGTTACTAAACCGACCACTGTCGAGAGCCCTCAAGTTCGCTCATAGATAGTTGAAGTTCAGAATAATTTTAATGACCGAAAGTAGTTTGCAGAATGTCTGATAACCGATATCAATTCAGAAGAATATTCGGGTCTCCCTGTGACAAAACTTATTTCATGGAAGTTTTAATAAATGTAGCCCGTGTGCTATGAGATGATTTTGTAATATGGAAATGTCCTTTATTGTCTCACTTGGCATTTCTTCGATTCATGCTCACTACAAATTATTGATAGGTGTAATTTAATGGTGTCATAAATTCAATAAATTTTCTAGATATCAGTTGAACGTTTCTATGCCTCTATGAACTGAAAGTATTGGATATTTCTTAATATGTATTCTAAATTAAATTTTGCAACAATAATTTTGTGTCTGTTGTGAGTGGTTTTGGTGTGCGAACAAAGCTTTAACAAACAATTACACAACCAAATGAATATGTTTTCAATAAAGAAAAAAACAATGCTTTTATCCATATTGTACTTTCGTCCCAGGCACTTTCTTAAAAATGCTAAATATTTATTATCCGATACTTCAGTTATTTATTAGTGATCAATTTAGTTAGCGAACTGATTTATCTCTCAAGTTAAGTTCACTTTCCACGAACAAGACAATGGAGATTCGTTCGACACAAAGGGAATTTAAGCTTAAACATCTATTCAGAATTGGAATATCCACAGCTGGCGCTTTAAAAAATTGTCTACAATGAAAAGCCAGCTCCATAATGAAAGTGAATTCGTACATTTATGCAGAACTCTCGCCAAAAGATAGCAGAAATAAACTTAGGAAGAAGCTTAGATCGGAAGTTAAAAACGTTAAATATCAAATAGTCAAAATCCTGGTGCTACAGAGATAAAAGCAAGTTTGCAATAACAAGCAAAAATTTTGTAAATCCTAGGATTGGCAGAAACCGTAGAAAATCATTGGAAAATCCGCGAGTTTATAGAATTTCTCGCAGTTGCGGTTTTACGTACGTAAGGAAAAATGAACCGGTCGATTGGGTAAGAAACAGAAATTTTGCTGCAAACATAGTGTCAGGACACACGTTAACTAGAATAAACTTGATGCTACTCTGAAACTGTGAAACGACTAATAAGCAAATTTTAAAAGATGGTAAAAGAGACACGGTTTTTAGCCTCGAAATAATGTATGTCTATGTGTGATAACGGAGCCTCTAAAGCACGGTACATAATTCCTTAGAGATTGACTTGAACTAACTAAGCTAAAAGCGCGTGTATTCCTCAATAAACTGATTTTATATAGACAAACAAAACTTGGCATCATCAACAACAATGCATCGTTCAAATGTGTTTGCGCTGATATTCTGTAAATCTCAAATTTTATTGACCGCTAACTTTTGCCCTCAGTGCTCGCTGGATGAAATTGAAAGTTTATTTATCTGCTAATATGACGGTTTTTGGGAAGACGTGAAAGTTATTGAATGTGTTGGCAAGTTTTGATCCCGAAGCTCGATCCCTGCAGGCCAACAAAATCAGGTTTGAATGAGCCGATATGAGATTCACTTGCATTAGAATTGTTTCACTTATATTAAGCCTTAATTTTTTTAGATGAATTTTACCATCGATTATTTAAACACTAGTTGTGGACCGTTGGACTGTGGGTTCAGAACTTCTCCTTGAGGGATTTCAAATTATGTATAGCCGGTACGTGAAACTCAATTTGTTTCCGACCAACTCGTTTATCCGAGCTGTATAACTTTGAAACTGAGAAGGTAAATTTAATCGATTTTTGCTATACGAGACTGATAACTTTTGGGAGCTCTCAAACATGGTCACTGAAGCCTGGAGTCGAGAGTAATTCCAATATTAGTTTATTGTTGTTTAAGTGATCGAAAGGCTTTAGAACTTTTCAGCACGGTAACTCTAGCTTTAGCAACTTTAGCTTTACGCAACAATTGACTGGTTTGAAAGAATCACAATGCGAAAGCTGCGCATTTAAATTAATTTGTGCTCTTTAGCAAAACAGTTACAGTTAAGAAAATAGCTATATTGTTATTCCACGAACAATGAAAGTAATAGTTTTACTTAAACGAAAACTAGGTGGTTTCTATCTTATTAGCTTTGTGGGCAGCTGCTCTTTCAATAAAATTCCGCTGAGCAGTAGCACTGGTGAAATGAACGAATATGGTCAATAAGGAGCAGGGAAATATGGTGGAAAAACACGACAAACTCCAGTCTGAAACTGAATTTGGGCCCACGGAAAATAAAGCGCATATTAGTTTTTTTCTGTCAAAGACTACTGTTGCTCCAGGAAGAATAGACTACACCGCAATTAAAGAATTACAATAATTTAAATTGGTTAATCGGGTGGTTATAAAGTTATTAATTTTTAGACCTGTCTTCAAAGGCTCACATGAAAGCATAAAAACTACTCTCAGCTTAATTATTGAAACTTGCTCGTTCTTGGTTTCGCTAAGGAGATATATAATTTTACGAAAGAATAAATTATATCTACTTAAGTACGAATCGCTGAATAAATGTACCTTTGTAAATTTGGACTTAGTACACCTAACTGTAATCGTAATGCGACTTAAATATGAATCGTTTTGAAATCGCCCGACAACATGATAGTCAAACAAGCCCAGACCGAAAATCCATTATCACAAGGATTTATTCGGGAAACCCCCACTGAGCTATTCACTTAGGAAAACAGTAGGTCCAGTTATTTACCAATCTTATTGGCTCCCAATTTTCCTTTCTCACTACAAAGGGCCTGGGAATCTATTTTACTGGGATTTGAGCTGTGCTATTGTTCCCCAAAAAGGTTGATATTTTTCATTACGTTACGGATCATACTGTGCAAATGTTGTCGATGATTTTATGGTAATGTTTAACAGGGATTACGGGGCTGCTTTTTGTCGAAATCCGTTCCATCATCGTCCGTTTTTTTCCTCGAAAGACATCCGTAAACAGTGGAGACTTAGGGTCAAGGTTTTCATCGAAAATTGAGCAGTAGATCTTATTCATAAATCATTAGTGTTCTTCTTCTTCTTTTTCATTCTCGATTTTAAGCGAATCGCCTGTTCAATTATCGTTCACTTGCGTGAGGCTGTCGCGCCATCGTTTCCTGGGGATCCCAACGTCTCTTCGTCCCAACAGGGACTTGTCGCGAGCGATTCTCACAAGCCTGCGGTGGTTCATCCTGCTTATGTCCTCATTCCATTCCTTCTTCCTCTTTGCTGCCTATTAGTTGATGTTCTTAACTTTACAGACTGTTCTGACATCATCGCTTCTCTCTCTATCCAGCAGTGTCTTTCCGGTCATTCTACGTAGTATTTTCATCTCAGCTGTCTCTAGGATTCTTTTGGTTTTCGTTGATTCTGGCCTGGTTTCTGCGGTATATGTCATCACCGGCCTCACGACGGTTTTGTAGATCCTTGATTTAGTGTCCTTTCCCATACTCTTATTACTCCATATGGCATTCAGACAGCCAACTAGTCTAATTGCTTTTGTTGTTTGATCTCTCACCTCTGCCTCAATATCCCCAAAGCCAGAAAGTTCAACGCCAAGGTAGTTAAATTCCATTTTCTGCTCGATTACTCTAAGGTGAAGTTCCAGTTTGCATCTTAGAGTGCTTTTTGATGTTGTTAGCACTTTGTTTTGGTCGGCGATATTTCCATATTTAGAGTCTTGGCTTTCAGGTTGAATAAGTGTAATAACATTTGTAAGTCATATTCACTTTCTGCAATGAGAGCGGCATCGTCAGCATAACACACTATTTTGATTTCTGCACCCCCCATTTTGTATCTCTTTAGCCCTCACACACTTCGAAAAAAATCTTCCATTATTAAATTGGAAAGGGTAGGACTCGAGTTGGTTCTGTGAGGTGTCCTTATATTTGTGACACTTTAATTAATTCCATAGCCACCTCACAAAATATAACAACTTAATCAACATTAACTTAAAATCATTTATAATTTGAAATCGGTTGATTTCACAGCTTAAAGTGTAAATGCAAATTTCTAACTTTGTAAATTGTTTATCTAATGACGTATTAATATACAGGTACTTCCATTTAAAAGACAAAAGTTATATTGCGTTAAAAAGTTTTAGATTGAAGTGCACATTGTTAACACCCTGTACAATGTATTGATATTTTGGTTCAATGGAATTCTCATAGGATCTAGGGTGATTGGGAAGACGTTTTTTTGTACCTTTAACTGCTTTTTTCTGCTTCTACAAAGAATTTTTAGGTACCATGTTTTTAAGCAACATCTTACTGAAATCGCGATAATCTGCCAACGTCGCAAGTAAGAAAAAAACAATTTACGGTGCATATGCAGCGTTTCAAGCTGCATTCTATGAGCTAATGAAAAATGGGTAATTCTATTTTAAAAAATACACTTTGATCTTGCCTCGCTTTCTGAAACTGAGATATTTTTAAAATCTGCGCACTTTGTGCGTCAACAACTTTTATATGAAACTATTTCTCGAAAGTTCAACACCAACGGAAATAATGGACGCTCTCGCACTAAAACAACACCCTGTACGTTCTTCTCTATCGTTTTAATGAGATTGTGTGCGATTTGCCTGTTGTAAAGGAGATGCAGATGAAGTCGTTCAGCTGGGCACGGTGAAATGCTCTAGTTAGTTAATGCAATAGTTAGTCCGCTCATAATAGTAACTCAGTATATAAGCGTAAGGAAATCTAAACGCCTCTGATTCCTGCTGATTTTTTTAATTCGTATATTTACTTGGAGCGAATGCCAGAAAGGGGATAGTATCTAAAAAGTAAAAATGCAACAAAGAAATCCCCGAACATTCCCATCTCTACTCTCGGTTATTTAGTAGTCCATAAAAGGCATATACATGTCAAACGCGAAACTAGTTCAACGCCGACCCAAAGTGAACTTGTCACATAGATATTACCACTCTATGTAACGTATACGCTCTTATTTTAGTCGGGAAATAAAAACGTTAGCTTCCGGAAAATTATTGTTGAATTGCGGCGTGGAGGCTAAAATAACTGTGAAAAAAGCCATATTGGACGCTTTACGGCATAGTGGGACCGAGCACCTTCTTTTTTGCTCAGTTGTCGCCCATGCATAATTTTACTGCACCTGAGCTGCTTTGAATTATCCTTATAAAGGGGCTAATAAAAGGAACCTACACGAAGCTGAAATATTTCACAATCTTTGCAGTATTTGCATTCATAAAAACGTGCTTGAACCCAGGACGTATTTCCTTCCTAATACCTCCGAAATTAATGATGGCTCGGATATTATTCTAATGGTCGCTTTATATTTTCGTCTGGAACGTGCCCTGATTCCAAACGGTTATTGAGCACATTTTTCCACAGTGAATCGTTTAGACTTATCCAATTTTAGTTCGAATAGCATTTTCTGCCACTTGCAGGTAACAAAATCCAATATTTCCGCTTGATAACCAATCAATGCAAACTACTTAGTTCAAGCAATTTGACAAACTTAAAATGAAGAGATTTTGAACCGGCTAAGCTGCTGACTTGACACGAAGACGTATGTTTGCATTTATTTGTTTAAACGTGAATCTTGCACATTGAAATAATAAATTATACGATTTCATTTATTTCAATTCCAAAGAAAATTAATTTAGAAATTCTGCATAAAACGGCTTACATTTTTGCGAAATATTTGTCGTCGACCATCCAATTAAATAAAGAGCGCGGTTTTTTCCAGCCAGCCACATCAGTTTATTTAATAAAAATACTCTTTCACGAGCAGTAATTACGATATTAAATCGGTTACGTTGGTCGACAAAGTTTCGCCGCAAAACCCGTGTTAGGAAAATCCCAAAAACGGAAATCGTTTCAGGCCGCAACTTTCCGGTCGCATTTAGCCGGTAGTTAAAATTTGCATTGATGCCATAATAGCAAAAAACAGCTCCGAAGCGTTATTGCGTACTCAAATATTTAAAGTCAATTTATTCCGGTTCAGCATTTTAGAGTCAGGTAAACAAACTTTGTTCTCGCTATCTTTTGATCGATAAATGGAAGTTCCAGGTCCTTTTACTCGGGGCGTTTTTCAAGATTGCCATCTCGAAAAGCAAATTTGCACAACAGCAGCTAGAAACACCTTGCTTGACTCACAGAAAACAGTGATAAAACAGGCAGTTGTTTTGTTAGGAGTCACTGGACGGCTTTTCTTTGACGCTCGAACAGCGCCCATATACGTGAATAAAGACTTGAGTAAATGAGTTTTAGGGAGAACCTGCAACCCCCTTTCGGATACTTAATTTTATAGAACAAGCTTCAATTAAATGCATGTGTTTTAGCAGCGTCGGGATTTTTCTTGTGCTGACAAAAATGCGGTAGAGGATTTCATCCACAACGGTGCCACTATTTCTCTGTAACACAACGAGCCGGAAAATTAGTCTTGTAAGTGTCCCCGAATTCGTTCTACGAGGGTTAAAACCGCCTGCTTGTTTTGCAGTCTTACTAACTCGTGTAATGGATAAGCACTCTTTGTGCAAAACGTCTTGCAATAGTTCAGCGTAAGAAAAAAAACAACGAAAATTATATCGAAATAATGTCGAATCCTGGTGTTCTAAAATTTACTTTTAAGTTCAAAAGGTTTATGAACTGGAGGAAGTATAGCAGCTAAACAATCAGACACTCAACCCTAATGAGTGAACTGTAGCTGGTTTAACGTTATTATATCTTGTGTTTTTTGCATAATGATGAAGGAAATAATGTATACATTTATCTAGTACGTTAAATTTGATGCTTATTAAATTTCCAACAGACCACAATTTTTTTGAAAATCACAGTTTAAGACCTTTCATTAGAACTTGTTCAATTTTTACTAGTGCTAAATAGTAGTAGTAGAAAGGATATGTGGGACTCGACAGGTCTTTGGGCGTCAGGGTCTCTACGAAATCTTAGATGAAAAATGTAGAATATAATGCTAAAAGAAGTGAGATGTGGATGATCACATAGCGGTAGAAGAACTTGATGCCACCATCTTCATAGTAGACCTTTTGCTAGTTAGTTTTTACTCAATGTGCTTTCTCCAATTTACATAATTATCTATATGAGATCCTAAATATTTTGCACTTCACTTATTTATTTCCTTGGTCTTAACAGGAATTTCTAGATTCTGTGTATGTTCATATTCTTGCTAACAGATCATAATAATTTCATTATGCCACTGAACATGCTTCACTAAACGTGCTTGCAAAACGTCGAAAAGAAAACTTAAAAAATAAAAAAAATAAAAAAGGACAATTTTGAAACTTTAAATAATAAAAATTAGCTAACAAAAAAGATAAATTGAGAAACAAACTATTAAAGAACGGAATAATGCTTAACTAAATGTCCATATTTAAACATTTATATTGCATTCTTAAGTTTATTTTTCAATTCGGTAAATGACCCCATTTAATGGCGAACGAAAATAGTCTTTTTTATCAACCCTACGACCTTCTAGGAAACCAACTAACAAATACATTCATGCGGGTGCTAAACTGAACAA